ATTAATTTATGCATTCGTTTACCAAATAAATTTATTAGCAGGAAAATCAGATAATAATGAACATTTAATACTTGTATGGCATTCTAATTGTTTTTCATTAGTAGACAAACATGATAATTTAAAATGAAAAAAGATATGAGAGTGGGAAGAGTACGCTCCATCTCTCTCCAAATGCTCTGACACGGCAACGCGAATACAGCCTCTGACAGGGAAGTCCTACTCACTGCCTTCTCCTGGCACTACTGTTGTTTACAAAATTGAGAGGAAGAAAAGCGAATGTCCAGTGCTTCAACCGAGTTGGTGGACACGGAAAGTCCACTTAGGAGAGTTGGAAAACCTTAATTCCAAACCAATGGTGTGCATCGGCTCCAGTATCCTGAGGAAACAAATGGTGTACGAATCAATCATTGGTCGCAGACTACCATGAGACTGCATCTCCTTACGATGCTCCACTATCTTGTGGATCAGATCTTTAGGTCAAAGGCTCCAGGTGTGGCCCCCTAAGAAAACCACCTGCTTCTGTTTGGGCACCCGGACAGTATCACAGCCCTCACACAAATCAAATAAGATTTGCGTGGCGAATATTTATTTGGTGCCCAATTGTACCAATATTTATGTGTTTAAATAAATAAATAAAAATAAATGTACATCTGTTAAGTTAATTTCATTTGAACACATATATGATGACGACGGTAATGAATCTGCCTGTTAAAAATAATAAAAAACCCTGAAACATAAGTGTGCATTTGTTCACATTTTGCCAGATCGAATCAGTACAATAGGATGAAAATAACAAGATAAATATCAGAAAAGTAGAAATGAAGTGAATAAAAACTAAGTTGTAGACAACCAATTTAATGTTTGATACAAAATTACTAAGTTCTTTCGTAAAATGTGAAAACCATATATTAAACACTTCATTTGCACATCTTTCATCAATCGTCCTTCACATCCTTCATGATTCATCGAACTAACAATTTCTTTCTGTTTTCTTTAGTGCAATCTTCTCAACCTTCTTTTGACAGTCATTCAACTTTTGATCGGTGCTATATATTACTTATGTCTGTCAACATAAATAGCATACACCAAAAAAGTAGTGACAATATTAATGGTAGCAAAAAAGACGAGGCATAGACAATAGGATTTAAGAAGAAAAAGTGAACTTAAAAAATAAAATTATCCTAAAGTTAGGATCTAAGAGATCTAAGATCTAAGAAAAAAAGCAAATGAATTAGCTTCATTCCAGCTGATTCTCAACCATGTCACCACCAATGTCTTTAACCACTGATCCCAGTTATCGCACAGAACCCAACCAGGTAGTCTGTGTGCATTAAAATAGGAGAGACTGACAGTTTATGACTTCGAAGATTGATATAACCTTTTCGTTTTGGCCAGCCCTTAGCTTATCTCCAAACAAATGTGATACACAGCTTTCTGACGATATCTACTGGGGCTAGAAATACACTCAAATGTTTGCTATCTTCAAAACGGAAAAAGTGTAACTCATAACTATGTATATGAAAGTGAATTATTATGTAGACAGGCAGAAATATACCCTAGCGAATAACAACGCCTATTTCATGTATGAATGAATTGAAGAGGCAACAAACTGTTCGAAAACGTGATATATATATATATATATATAAAATTTTCCCGCAACTAATCGTTTACAACATCAAGTCAATTTTTATTTATGTTTATTTTTTATTTAAATTTTCAGAGGTAAACAGTCTGTTCCTTCCGTTTGTCTACACTACATGCACAAACATACAGACAAATAGTGTACAGATCATACAAATCCTATTAGAAAAGAAACTTTGTTACCTTTAAACCGCATAACATTTTCTAATTTATTGAATAAAACAGAAAAATAAATCTTCTATTCGATATGATCCAACACGAATCATAACTATTTTGTATGAAAGTAAACAAAACCTAACTAGTCAATGGAATTTAGAAAGGATGATGTCTCACGTTTAAAACTAGTAATGAGTGTATAATTTATTTAATATTAACTATGTCTGGAAGCTGTTGACCATTCTTCAGAAAAGCATTTAAAAGATAGGTGAAAGATAAAAGTACATCGCTGAATTAATGTTTAGTAAACAAATTCCTAGAGTTTTATAAAATTGATAAATAATGCGTTACATCCTACTTGTTACTAATATAGGCATATTGTCAAAAGCTTTTACTAGTATCAAGGTCAGACATAAAAAAACACTAACATTCCGATTCTCTGTACCTGAACTAACCTTGGAAGTAAAACTTTTTCCCATACTGTTGTCGATTATTTAGGATTTAAGCGTAACAGATTTCTAAGGAGTAAGAAAGCGGTTAGAAGTCGATGACAAGAGATCAAGTATCAGACAAATTTAACTATATTAACATTGAGATTTTCTGAGATGTTAATTTATTGGTAGTAACTAAGTAGAAATTTATAAACGGTAACCTTTATGACAAGTTAATCATTGTAAAATTGAATGCTCGCATAAAATGATGAAATTTTTAAATGTATCAGAACATGACTGAAAATCAAGTATTTCAATAGTAATTTTGTGGAAAGATTTTTTAAATATAAACAATGGTACACCAAACAAATTGAAATAGCGTATTCATTGAAAATCACACTTATATATGCAACACTCATCTATTTAAATAGCAAAAAATCCTGTATATCGTACATTTATTGAGTATTAGAAAAATGGATGGATGGATGGATGGATAAAGTCACACAATGCATAACAACTAAAGGCATTTGCATTTTATCATAAATGAAAAAGATACCATTCCAAAAAAAAATCTGTAAATCGAAAACACTAGTCAAAGTACAAACTTTTAAAACAAGAGTTTCCCCTCAAATTAAGACAATATTTGATTATTCAAGTGTACTACTTATTGGTATGGATATAAACTATTTTACTGAAGGCTTAGCAATCTTATATAGTTGACAAAATAAAGTTATTATTCAGTACACATTAAAATGTGGCTTTGTGAAACAAAACCATAGTAATTATATATATAAGTAAGAAAATGAATTATCCATTAAAAAGCAAACAACTATAATAAACCCTTATTATACTTTTTAATACAATGGAATACTTTTTTAAATTATGTGGACGAACCAACGAAGTTAAGGATATCAAATCTTCGATTTGGACGAGAAATTCATTAATTCATATATTTAAATAGGATTTCGGCATTATAGATTATGTGAGTTCGTGATAAAAACCTTTACTTTAATTCAGGACCTTGATTTCTAATTCTAAATCCCAACTAAAATTGGACATTAACGGACGGAAGACTTTGGGATTCATCATATTGAACGTGTTACAACATATATCACAATAAAATAAATAATTCTATTTCAAAAATATCAAGTGACTAACTAATAAAACTAATTATACAATTAATATATGGTAAAAAATAATAATTTCTCAATGAAGAAACAGAGGGAGACACTTAGCTTCAGATTAATATTTATTGAAAAATTAGTAAGAGGAAAAGAAAGAAGAAAAAAAGCTAATCCATTCACGCTCATATTATTAAAATGTATAATCATAAGTTGATATATTTGTTTCACAATAGACTGATGATGATATTTTGATGAAATAATTGGTCTTTGAATTTTATCTTACGATTTTGATATATTCTGGATGATGATGAATACATCGAATAATTTTTTAAAAAGTGTTCCTGGGGTTTTAAAAAATTTCTTGAATGATACAGCAATTTCATTTTATTAGCCAAATATGTCTGCTAACTACACTATCTGTTCACTTGCTTACATGAAAAGTTCCAATTTCTAACATTTTGACACTCAAGGAGATGTGTCGTAGTGGTTAACTGTATATACTAAGAAGAACATTTATTAAATGATTATTTTTGGAATTTACAGTCTAAACTTAAAATATCTGAAAAGAAAAGTGAACTTAATTATAAAAGAATTAATCGACTCATTCACTAAGCACTTGAATATGAGAGGTAATAATAATTTCCAGTTAACCGAACCGATGTACTTGGAGTGGTGTACCAACCTGAGACTTAGTATCTGAAAGTCGAACCACTCTACAAAGATAACTTTACAACTCTAAACGACTAAAAGATTTCTAGACATTGCATTAACAATACGAAAAATGTGGTTTAGTGTTCTTATCTTTATTCATATATGATGTGGGTGAGATTTTATTGACGATTTACTGGTAATTTAAATGAGTGTTTACATGAATCACGATTGTTATAGTAACCGTAGTATTCGTATACGCTGATGAGTTTGCTAAATCCCTTATTACAGTTCTGAGTACTTCTTTAACAACAGTGCAGTAAGGGGATTTCAATTATTGTACTAGTAGATATATTTGAAAAATTCTTTAGTTACCAAAAAGCTTGTAAACTATATTGTGTTTCTCACAGCTCTCGGAACTTGATGAATAGTGATCATGAGAGAATATTATCACTATATTTATAGATGTGTTCCACCACTAAATTTACATTGTCGAATGGTTAGTATTATCTATGAAGTATATGACGACCTGAAAATATCAGAGTTATGAATTCCAAAAATTGGTATTGAAATATAAACCGATATTTATTTACAAACAATTCAATTAAATACTTATCAACACTATCTTGGCCTTGTATTATTTTAGATTATACCTCGGTATATGTCATAAACAAGCACTTTCACACTATTAAAAAGTTTAATTTAAAAAGAAAACGATGCTGATGGTCTTCAGAAAACCGATAACTTGATAAGTTAAATAAAATGAAACACTCAGCCTCAATGAAGTACGCTCGAAATGCCAATATGTTAAACTTATTTCAACATGTATCAACAAAGAGATTCATTATACAAAGGATATTAGACCGAACAGTTATACTAGAAAGCTATCATCATTCTTGATGAAACTGACGATGTAAAAAATTCTAGCAGTGAAATTATTGAGAGAAAATATGAAATTATCAATTTCATACTACCACAAGCAAATAAATAAATAACTTACCGGTGAATAAAATTCTTATTCTGTATATATTCTACACGTGTAATTGTTTGATCAGCTAACAGAAGTACTGTTTTTAATTTAAATCTTCGACCGCAAAAATTAAATAAATCTTCTAAACTAGGACCAAGTAATTGGATAACTAGAACATTGTAGTCTCCTTCTGTACCAGACCACTTTAAACAAGGAATTCCAACTGCAACAAGAAGAATAAATAGAGGGAGTATGACACAAAGTAAGAAATATGCTGACCTAGTAGTTGTACTGTTTAACATTAAACAAAAGCAAATAAATGTGTTTTTAGTTACGTAACAGTTGGATAGAATAAGAGCAGGTATTTATGGGTGAGTAGTAAAATATCCGAGCAGAAACAAAGGCCAAGTCATGGAAAAAAAAGAATGAATTCACCAAAAAACGACGTGAGAAAGGGGTAGGTAAATCGCATTGATACTATTATTGGAGAGAAGTAAGGAAAATAACAGGTGAATGAAATATTCTAACAACTATATGTGACATTAAAAAGGAGGAAGGAAGGTAATAAATTTATTTCTGTATTATTGTCAGTGATTTCGATATATTTATCAAAATTTAAAAAATACAGGATTCACTAAAGCAGATAATAATCATCCCATGTTTTCGAGATCGAATGTTGCAAGTGATTTTACGGACTGACTCCATATTATTTGTAGATGAATACCAAAAACCAAGAAGCCTAGAGTTCAATAAGTTCCTGCTGACTGTCACCATTATATTATGCGAGAAAAGTTTAATGCACACAATTACAATCGGCATGACTAAATCAAGAATATAACAAATAACTAGAACATTTCACAATTCCACATTGTGATACTTTGTAGTAAGACAAAATTAAGGGTCGATGAATCAAAAGATTTGATGGTTATGAAATTCATGACTAATTTTAGTCAACTTAAAAAGGCAAACGAGAAAAATAAATTGGATGACCATCTTGTAGTAAATAAGTGTTTCCCTAAAATACCCGACCGCTTGAGACCAATCGAACCATTTTAGGAGATAATGTTTAGAAAAAAATCCAAACTACGAAAATTAATAAAGCAATAAACTTATGATCTGATGGCTAAGTCATACTGACGTTTAGACCTGGATGTGATGACGGTAAAGCAAACCTAAACAACTATCATTCAGAAAGATGTTACTCTCTCATAACGGAACCGATGGGTTGAAGAATATTAAACCTCATCTCAATTCAAAATTTTCCGTAGCAGGCATTATATATATATATATATATATATATATATATATATATATATATATATACATATATATATGGATCATCGTTGAGCGTTCAATTGAATGGAACTCGTCACTATACTTCAACTTCCTTGACTTTCAAAAAGCATTTGACGCTGTGGAAAAGACCTTATGGAAACTTCTTTGACACTATGGTATACCTGAGAAAATCGTCAACATCTTATGGAATTATTACGACAGATTACACTGCAAAGTCGTACATGCAGGACAGCTAACAGATGAGTTCCACATGAGGACCGGAGACATACAAGGATGCTTACTCTCCCTCTTTCTCTTTGTTCTGGTGATTTACTGGATTATGAAGACCTTCACACCTGACGGAAAGCACGGGATAAAATGGACAACTTGGATGCAACTAGACGATTTGAACTTCAGAGATGGTCTAGCCCTCCTATCCCATACACACGAAAAAATGTAGGTCAAGACAACCTGTGTAGCAGAAGCATCTGCATCAATAGGCCTCAACATTACTCACTTACTTACTTACTTACTTATGCCTGTTACTCCCAATGGAGCATAGGCCGCCGACCAGCTTTCTCCAACCCACTCTGTCCTGGGCTTCCTTTTCTAGTTCTATCCAGTTCTTGTTCATTCTTCTCATGTCTGTCTCTATTTCTCGGCGTAATGTGTTCTTTGGTCTTCCTCTTCTCCGTTGACCTCCAGAATTCCATGTGAGGGCTTGTCTTGTGAAGCAATTAGGTGATTTCCTCAAGGTGTGCCCAATCCACTTCCAGCGCTTTCTCCTGATTTCTTCCTCTGCTGGAATCTGGTTTGTTCTCTCCCACAGTAACTTATTGCTGATAGTGTCTGACCATCGGATCCGAAGTATTTTGCGTAGACAGCTGTTGATGAACACTTGTATCTTCTGGATAATGGCTTTCGTAGTTCTCCACGTCTCCGCCCCATACAGTAGAACTGTCTTCACATTTGTATTGAAAATTCTAACCTTGGTGTTGGTTGACAATTGTTTTGAGCTCCAGATGCTTTTCAGTTGTAGGTATGCTGTTCTTGTTTTGCCGATCCGCGCCCTCACATCTGCATCTGATCCACCGTGTTCATCAATGATGCTGCCCAGATATGTAAAGGTTTCCACATCCTCCAAAGCTTCTCCGTCAAGTGTAATCTGATTGGTGCATATTGTATTGTATCTGAGAGTCTTGCTTTTCTCTTTGTTTATATTGAGACCTACTGCTGCTGAGGCTGTTGCTACACTGGTCGTTTTCTCCTGCATTTATTGTTGCGTGTGTGATGGAAGAGCCAGATCATCCGCGAAGTCTAAATCGTCAAGCTGCATCCTGCCTGTCCACTGTATCCCGTGATTTCCTCCAGATGTTGACGTCTTGATGATCCAGTTGATGACCAGGAGAAAGAGAAAGGGTGAGAGTAAGCAACCTTGCCTAACACCGGTGTTTACTTGAAACGAGTCGGTGAGTTGTCCTCCGTGGACAATTTGGCAGTTTAGTCCATCATAGGAGTTCCGTATGATATTTACTATCTTCTCAGGCACGCCGTGGTGTTGAAGAAGCTTCCATAGTGTCGTCCTGTCCACACTATCAAATGCCTTCTCGTAGTCGATGAAGTTGATGTAGAGTGATGAATTCCATTCGATTGATTGTTCCACAATATATATATATATATATATATATATATATATATATATCCTGAATGGTTTGATTGTGAAGCCTTTTTTATCGCAAAGAACATAACACCTTGAAAATCCACTACCTGCGCTATAAATCTTTTCTGTCACCTGGTATTAATATTAATTCCTTAATATGCAGACAGAAATATTGAAAATGTACAATCAAATCTATCATGCCCATAGAAAATGAACAATTGTGTAACTTATTCATACTTGTCTAGAATAATCAGCAAGGGTAAATGCAAACATCAATGACAATACAAATAAAACCAACAACACATGATGTGACTGTTTCATTATTCAGTTCAGACAATACTGTGCTACACATAAGTCATATTATATTTAATCGAAATAAGTTGAATACTTTTTTAATCGATTAACTACAAGTGAACAATAAAATGACTTTAATCATATAAAGATTAATTACTATTTACGGTCATTGAAAACAATCTGATCGAAGACTATGACGGATTCAAGTAGTAACTTACGATAAATTCACTAACTACATAAATGTTTATAAAGTTAATTACAGAGACTGTGACCATTTACTACATGATAGTTTACATCACAGAATATATATTCATTATAAATCGGCGTACTTTAATGTGTCTAATAATAAGTACACTTCAGTGATTATTTACTCTTATTTAGGTCACATGCTCTTAATCGGCTGATAAAAACTACTTGAAATGAGAAATCGAATAACGATAATCCACTCAATACGGATGATCCTATTTACTGAATAGTATGTAAAATAACAAAAAAACGATCATCTTGTTAAAGTACAAGTTAAAAGATCAAGTACGTAGAATGTAACATCTGATTTATGAATGCAGTAAAAGTGAGATGGAATGAATGAATCAATTACAATGAAATCAACAGAATAACCATTCACAATAAAAAGTGAGAAGTAGTGGAACTTAACGGACAAAACATTCGAGGTTCAAACAGCAGTTGAAATCATAACACATTAGCAGTGTGACTGAAAGTAGAGGACATAAGCCTAAAACTCGCAAGAATCAGGTAAGTTATTTGAATGTAGGACTGTAGTTCATTATATATTTACAGGTTCAATTGTAATCCAAATTAACTGAATATTGGATTACATTTATAATTGTTTGAAGTAATATGGTTCACGACCAAACTAAGCAATAATACTTATATTATTTTCCTATACGATGATTGGAACTATGTGAACCTATTGTTTTCGAGAACGTTTTTGTTCAATTCAGTAATTGGAAGTTTGAAAAGCTCATTGCACTATGTCTCCCTCTCTGGGTATAGAATAAACACCTAAAATACATACAGAGTTTGGGAGAAGCGAATCTACTTAACTATTACTGAACCAGCAAACATAAAACAAACTTATATCTCATGTTTGTTCTCTACATCAAATGTTGTTATTTATATCAAATTGATAATGCTTGTAAACTGGTGTGAATTCTGTAATAATTATTTTCAGAATATACTATACTATTACTACTAATATAATAATCAGTTACAATTAATGCAGAGCTTGACAGACGTGCGACGGACTAGGTTTTTATACAGACTACGTTGGTACCACAAGACAAAATTAACAAGATGAATAGCGAATGAGTTGAAATAACGTAGTACTAATTATATTAAAAAAGACGTGTTGCGTATGCCCAACAACCACCTACCTCGGCGCGAAATGTTAAATGGAGTACAAGTAGGCTGCAAGAAAGCTACAGGTGGCCAAACCAAAACAAAGCATTAGTTCATGAATTCACTGACAATTGGAATTAGCCATGTTAATAGGTGCAGACTATCTGGTTGAGGTCCGAGTGATTATCGTACCCAATGGTCAGAGACTTAGAATGAAATGCCTCAAAATCGTTGGCAATGGCGTAAGTGTATCAATTATTTGTGTTCTCCAAGATTCTAGGCTTCTGAATTCCATATAATTTCTTCTGTGTTTATTTCACTAATTTTTAAGTTCTTAAATCATATCATCGATATCTTTTCTATAAACAATAATACTGTTATGACTTCTACTCCTCTAGGATTTCACTTAACAATTTCATCTCTATGTGCTAATAGGGTATGGCTACTTAAACCGACAAGTTACGTACTAGATACTGCGTCGTGACTGACTGCAGTTCGAAATCTAAGAGGACGTGGAGTAAATGAAACTGAGACAATACGAATGATTCTGAGAAATGTCACCCAACGTCTCTAACTATCTGCCACAAAAATCATATAGATCCCAACAAGGTTATCTGCACGTACTTATGTGTTTGAATACCAATAAAGGCTTTTTCAGTTTTAAAAAAACATACAAAACTTAAAACACTACTTAAATATCTCATTAATTTCGGGAGGACAGTCTATATAATTGAATCGCTCTATAGCACTATTAAATTGAATTCCAAGGAATGTCTAAAACACAATCGGTTTAGATAAACTCTCGTTATCAGACTGATGTTCTGTTAGCCGAATAACAGAAATGAATATAGCTAGCCAAGCTCTAATTTCATATCACAATCAAATTAATTAATTAACTGGCAATCACATGTCATTCATCAGTTGATGTGCCTTCATAGCACAGGTTGGCCGGTCCTACGCACTTTAAACATGATTTAAAATAGGCAAAGTTAACACGAGTCGTTAAATGTTTCAAGCCAGTTTACACATGCAAAGTTGGGTAAAGCATAGGAAATTACAATAATCGTGTACACAAAGTATGTTGTAAAAACCTCAAAAATTAATAAAGTGGATGAAAGTAAAACTGATTTCTTTAATAAGTGCTCATCGAATTATCTAAACATCCCTTTTAGAAATCTTCCATAAGAAAATTAGATCGGTTCAAAATGACGATCTCCTTGACAGTAAATGAAATCACAACGTAGGATAAACAAAACGAAAAGAAACCAACATATTTGAAATTTAATTACATCAGAAAAAATCAAGTAAATTAAAGACAAATTACTTACCACCGCCTTGCATAAGCTTGTATATTTTAGCTTCAATTTGAAGCTGTGGATGTTTTGCTTTGACACATTCTAATTTGATAGCTACCTCTTCATCATTTGTGATATCGATACCTACGAAATAACAGTAATAATAGTGATAAATTACTGTAGTTTTAAGAGTATGAAAACATGAATATGATAATGAAACGAATATGTTAACACCACATAAGAACAGCATCTAACCTAAGGCAAGAAAATGATTTAAACAAAGCGAAACAAATCAATTAAAGGTCTAATAAGATGCACAATTTATTATTTTTTTAAAGTTGCTTTGGAGACGACGATAACAAGCCTTTTTGGTAATGAGTAAGCGTCAGATATATAAGATAAAATCAGAATAGAAGTGATCAAGTTCGAAATAAACAGTGTATAGCTTAGATATCTGAAAGCACAAAGTAATGACCACTACATACAAGCTTAGAGTGATAACCGAATCAGTAAACAGCTTGATATTTATTAAAAGCAAAAACTAATTTCGAGGTTGTTTGTGTTAAAGAGACTTACACACACTTAAATACATACAAAAAGTTGGGGAATTTACACCACGGGTCAATAAAATGAAGAACAATTAATTAACACCATATACCTTATGACTGGTGGTTTGGTGTGGCATAGTGTGGATATATATATATATATATATATATATATATATATATATATATATATATATAATATGAAGTACATGCAAAATGATTTTTCAGCGTAATAGATTCTGAGGTGAAAACAATACACTGATAAACATTGCACTACAAGTTCGAACGCCCAGTCCACTCATTTCAGTATGTGTGATGGACTCTATTCACAAGATTGTTTATAAAAAGTATGTAGAGGAACATGTCATCGAAGTTCCAACAGGAGTCAGATGAAGAAGAGATTTTCAGTACAATCAAATCATGGTGTATGCAGAACACATCAAAGGATGTAAATAGATAATTGAAGGCTAAACATATGTACTACGCAATCAGTCCGTAACTTCTCACAATAAGTGTAGGTTTCTTCTGCCTATTGCCTTTTTTATATAAGTGGTAAGTAAAGTTGTAATTAATTTTCTTCCCCTATTTATAATGAGCACACTTCAGAAAATAGTAGATGAAAATTTATTTTTCAACTGATTAGTTTGACATTGCAGACATGAGAAGTGTGTTTACATTGGAATCCAATACATAAATGGTTAAAAGTATCAAAGTACGCAGTTATGACTCACTAAATGAATGAGTACACACGTTCTAAAAATTAATAGTTTATCGAAAATGTAGAAAACAACATATTCTTTTCTACACCGTAGCCGTACTTTACAACACCAATAAGTTTTACGCATTACTAATCTAGAAGTTGGATTCTTAGTATGTCGCGTATAACTTGAGCGCTCGAACGCTCGAAACTTCCCAAGTCACAAAATGAAAAGACAGAAGACAAATGGAAGGAAAGCGATTCCAGTGTCAATTATGGTACAAAACAGTCAGGTATTTATAGTTTTTAGGAAAAACGAAATCATCATTATAGTTATCCAATCCGTACCATTAGCATTTGTCCAGTAGGGAAGCTACACGTAGTGATTTTGGAATATTCTTCCAAAAGCTGATTGGATGGAATATGTTCGGCTCCTTCTGGGCTTCTTAGAGCATCCTCAAGCTCATTATATATATATATATATGTTCGGCTCCTTCTGGGCTTCTTAGAGCATCCTCAAGCTCATTATATATATATATATATATATATATATATATATATATATATATATATATATATATATATATATATATATATATGCCAAATGATCACAATTTTCATATTTTAAATTGCACCAAAATAATAAGCAATAGCCAGTATAAGATAATTTACTATCTAAGGTCTAGACACTGATAAACGTCAAACCGCTAATAACCATAGATTACAGCTAAGTAAACAAAGAAAATTGAAATTTTTCAACCATATCACAATATGACACTATCTTCTTTAACCAATGGACAGGATTATAAACAATTGGTCAGATAATTAATACTTTTGTTCAAAGCGTTGAGTTTGTCAAAAAAAATTTAGTCAGTGAATTATGACAAAGCAAATAGAGAAATTTTTTTCTATACAGAAATGACGTTAAACGGTACCAAATGAAAATGGACAAAATTAACAGACCTAAATGGCTGTGTGTGTTTCATCTGAATACGAAGAATAAACGGATAGTTAGGGTTAATGATGATTGTTATTCAAATCGATTACCGAAAAATGTGAATTCAAGGCGAAACCATGTGATAAGTAGGACTAAGTACAATGGAATTCCACTCGATTAGGTAATATTTCCCGGGAAGTTTATCTTTTGTTTAGATTTTAGATGGAATCCATCTTTTAATTGTTACACGGTTACGGTTAGTCATTAGTAAACCCTACTCATTGATTTCATGCCACCTGGTGCTCGCCAGCACGGTCCAAATGTAATCCTGAGGGAACAGATGATTTCTATGGGAATCGAACTCGAGTCACCTAACTTCACAATCGGCGATACCACCACTGAACTATTTGGTTCATAACTGACTTCCTACAAAATTGAGGAATTTACAGATGGTCGGTCACTCACCAGCACTATATTTGTCTTGCTATATGGCAGAGTGAGGGCATAAAACCACCTTTCTCCCTTGTTCCATTCAAGCAGTGGGGTTAGGCAGGGTTGCCCGATCTCACCATTCCTCTTCAACTTTGCCATCGACGACATCCTGGAAACACCTCTGATGTCAGGATGTCAGCAATCCTTCGGAGACAACGATGATCAAACACAGAGAGTCGTCTAACATCCTGAACTCGGATTGGTCAGGTTTCACAAGCATAAAGCAAAACTGCTCTCACTGACGCGTTGTAGATCCGACCTTTTATTGCCAGACAAACATCACAAAGGTGCCAAAGATGGCCCAGATTGACATGACCCGCTCTGGCTTTCATTATACGTGCATCGATCTCATCACTGCGATAGTGCCCAAGGCATGCAATCCGCACTTAATCAGTTAGCAATCAGTGTCCGTAGGTACGGTATGTGCTTTGCACCCTCCAAGTGCAAGGAACTCCTACAAGACTGGCAGGATTCTCATCCTGTACTCACCCTGGATGATGAGCACATTGAAGTAGTCGAGAAGTTCGTGTATCTAGGTAGCTACATAAGTGTTGGTGGTGGCGTGAGTAATGAGATTGATGTACGTATAATGAAAGCCAGAGCGGCTTATGCCAATCTGGGCCATCTTTGGCACCTTTGTGATGTTTGTCTGGCAATAAAAGGTCGGATCTACAACGCGTCAGTGAGAGCAGTTTTGCTTTATGCTTGTGAAACCTGACCAATCCGAGTTCAGGATGTTAGACGACTCTCTGTGTTTGATCATCGTTGTCTCCGAAGGATTGCTGACATCCAATGGCAACACCATGTTAGTAATGCAGAGGTTCGGCATCGTGTGTTCTGGCGCAGAGACGATAATTCAATTGGTGTCACCATCTTGAAACACCGACTTCCGTGGCTTGGACATGTTCTACGAATGTCGTCCCAGAGACCTCCACGTCGTGCACTATTTGCCGACTCTGGGACTAGTTGGAAAAAGTGGAGAGGAGGTCAGTGTATGACATGGTGTCGTGGCATGAAAGAAAGCTGAAAAGGGCTAGCTTCTGTTGGTCCTTCACGACTCCCTGGCTGGTGTCCGAGAGATGGTGCAACACAGTGGCTAGAGACGTTATCAGATATGGCTCAGAATAGAAGCCAGTGGCGAGCCTGCTGTAACCTTCTTCTACTTTCTACATAAAGAGTGGTTCTAACTTCCTTAACTGAGAGAGCTCTTCTGGTTGTACATTTCAATCCGCCTTATCTTTTCATCCCTTCTCTTCCTACTTTCATTATTTTGTGTGGCGCATATGTATCTGGTACCCTTTTGTACTAATATATATGTGTTTAAATAAATAAATAAATAAAAACCAAGGCATACACGCAATCTTGAGAGAATTGATTATCCCTATAGAATTAAAACCCTTCTATAGGTAAAAGTGATTTCGAAACATTTAGACTAATATTTATATTGCAAATTTATCGACAGAACTCAACCAGAAGCATGCCCCAAATGCCCTGATGCGGCCGAGAGTGGGGAGAGTCCACTCTCCTTCTCCACATGCTCTCACATGACCACGCATATATAGCCTCTGCCACAGAAGTCCTACTCACTGCCTCGTCGTGGCATTACTGTTGTTTACGAAATTGAGAGGACGAAAAGCGAATGTCCGGCACTTTAACCGGGTGGGTGGACACGGCGAGTTCACCTAAGGGAGTTGGAAAACCCTGATTCTAAACCAATGGTGCTCCAGTGTCCTGAGGGAACAAATGGCGTATATATATATATACAGAGAGAGAGAGAAATAAATAAATACATAGATGTACCGAATCGAAAATAGAAAAATATTATGAGTAACATGAGATTCTATTGTTTCGATTCGACACAATTCAAACCAGTACGATTATGAATAATTCATAAAGCTTAACAAGATATAATAATCTATATAATAATCTAGCTACCTAAATAGTTTAGTGAATCGATCATTGAACAAAAAGTTACAGCTGAAATGGAACAAGTAGTAGGAAAAGATGGTAGAAAAAAGGCTAACAGTTTTTTTGCAAAATGTTTATGCTCGATTTCTATAACAAACATGAATAGGAAAATAAATCACATCAATGTTTACTTGTCAAACTTTCCACTTTTGAACAAGGAGTCCCATTTACGTCAAAAAATGATCTGCAACTTTTCCTCATTTGAAGATACTCGACTTTTATATGTAATAAATCACCGAATATTACATGTTCGGCAAGAGGAAATTATAACATGTATGCTGAAATTTGAATGACTTCGGTGTATTTTAATCCTCATTATAGAAAATCAAACTAATTCCTTTTTTAAACGATGAACAACAACAATGCTAATACCTTGAACAAAAAACCAATTTAAATTTACTTAGTATTGTTTGTATGGATCTTCCCATTGATATTTTTAGGACTGCGACTGGTCAGTCTCTAATTGGCATATGTGCATACTGTGTGTATTGCCTCAATATAGCCTAAATTCACAAGCATGGTAAGCAAAGATGGATAGTGGTTAGCAGTGGAATCCAGGACGCGCATTTCGTCCTATTTGGGACACCAATTTGTCCTCCTAATCAGGTACTTGAACCAATTTTTTTAACTTACATCAGGCTTATAGTAAATTAAGTGAAATAGATTAAATTTATCCAATCAGTTAACTGTTTTATAATACGTTGAATAATAATAATAAGAGACTAACATGAAAAACTTATACCAAAAACAATCACTAATTTACATAAACTAACATTTTATATGATTACAATATAGTGGGGTAAAGTACTTTGTTCCTTATTCATACAATTAGATATTTAAGCATGTAGAATGATAAACAACCGGAAATCGTTAGTGCTTCATAGGCTCATGGTTATGGAATTAGCAATTAATCATAATAATAATGATAATAATAATAGTAAACAAAGACCACTACTAGTATCTACACTACCAAAAAAAATCAACAAACGACTAGTCATATTGATTATTACTCCACTACACCTAACTTTATACTTAAATGATATGGAAAGACAATATTTTCAATCAATCAATACATTTTCAATGGTTACACTAGTCACGAGTCTAAATAAACAACAATGAAAAAACGAATGTGATAGAAACACATGTTTATATTTTTGTATTCGCATACACGCATACACACTTATTTTATTTTGTTTGTAACGCGCGCTTATACACTCAACAACAACAAAAAATACTAATTCTACTATTCTTTGTAAAACTGAAACAGGTATTTATTTTATAAACAATAATTACTACCTTGAATAAAGTTGACAGCAACAAGAAAAAAGAGTGTTTTTTTCTTATAAAACAACAGTCAAACCATCTATCTAATCAATAGAGAAATCGTGTTGTCTAATTGAAAAATTAAAATGTCACTCAAATAATTGGTCTAGACAACGAAAAAAAACACAAGGTAAACTATGATGCATCCTGTCACCCTGGAATATTGAGTGGGAACCTAAACACAAGATTAAATTTACTTAAGGATATAATACACCACCGATAGTAGGGAAAATAATAAGTTAGTCAAACACTAGTGCAGAAAGGTATTGTTATTTTTAGTGGTAGTTAAATTATACGCAATTACAGTTGATGAGTACTTTGATACTAATGTACCTGATGTTCAATGTATGGTTGAAGGATATTTAATAAAAAAATACTTGGATCGTAACAAAAGAGCATCTTTATAGGAAACAGATCATAACAAAGGAAACTTTTAGATTTAGCATACGACTTTATATTTAAACAATGAAGAAACTAAATTTCAGGAAGGTATGGGTATTTTTATTTCTGAGCGTAATCATACTTATGAATAACAGAAAATACAAAACGGGTTAGACATAGTCTCAAAATTCATAAACAAACATTTAACACTCAAGTGTCCCAAAACAAAAAGCCTGGAATTGATAGTATTGAATTTCTTTAAGAGTACAGACACCCAGCTAACCACCTCGCATGCTCAGTGTACGAATGGTCAGAACATGCTCACTGTTCTCATTACAACTAACCAACGTAAGCGGATGATTACATAAGGTACTAGAAGATTCCAATTTGACTTTTATAAAAATACTGTTGCTTTTGCTACTGTAAATTTTGTTCCAACATTTTTGTACAATATCTTTTATGTCCATATAATTATTGTTATTAATTTGCACGTCAGACCCAGTAGTGCATTTCCTATAGAGTATAGACAAGAAATAACTAAATGAATTTTAGTTCGACACTAACGTTCTTCCGGCAACGAGAAAATCGATTAATGTGCACTTTGCATTCAACAAGTAACTACTTCGATCCTTAGGCATCAGAAAATTAACTCGAACTAATTATAATTTCAAACAATCCATACACTCTCGTTGTGTAGACGTAAAACATTACATAAAAACATCATTTTAATTAGATACTGACATAAACGACTTTATTAAATAAATTATTAATAATGGAAGCACATCTTTGTTGAGTGTTAGACCACTAACGGTAATAACTAGATACAATGGTCAGGCTTGAGTGTTGTTCTGACCTAATGGAGATTATACTAACTAGAATGTTTATTTCTTGTAACTCGTAGATGATATGAATGGTAGTTTACGAGTGATATAACTTAAAATAGCTGGTATTATAACGCAAATAATTCGGATTGTGAAAGGATTCAGGAGTTAATGTCGATTGCTGGTTGAACAAGAGCGCAACAACACGGTGTTTCGCTTAAGTATCCAGCATATCCAGTCATAGTATCTTTATGTTCTACGGAGGAGAGGGCTATGAAACGTTTATAACTGGATGGCCACCAATTTTATGTCCACGAAGTTTAATTTTTTATACTTGGAAGATGAGGAACCACTGCAATTCCCACGAAGCGAAGTAAAAACACCAAGGCTGGTACAAGTGAAGATTTATTAACCCAAAACACGAAGACTCTAGTCGAAAATATATACTGATTTATACACCTTTCGATTGTTAGTTAAAAATAAATCACGTAAATATTATGCTCCATGCCATCCTGAACATAGTTAACGATAATTTAATGTCCTGGTACCGCTGACGGTGGGGAGAGTCCGCTACTCCTCTCGAAATGCTCTCACAAGGCCACGAGTATGCAGACACTCCCACGGAAGTCCTTCTCACTGCCTTCTCGCCACGGGGTGTTGTTAACGAAATTGAGAGGACGAAAAGCGAATGTCCAGCTCTTTAACCGGGTCGGTGAATACCGAGGGTCCACCTATAGGAGTTGGAAAACCCTGATTCTAAACCAATGGTGCACATGGGCTCCAGTATCCTGAGGGAGCGAATGGCGTATGAACCTATTGTTGGTCACCGGCTACCATGGGACTGCATCTCCTCACGATGCTCCACTGCCTTGTGAATCAGACCTTTAAGTTGAATGCTCCGGGTGTGACTCCTTAAGAAAACCACCTGCCCCGGTCTGTGCACCAAGGCAAAGTCACTAACCACAAATAAATCAAGTGACTTGTGTGGTACATATGTATTCGGTGCCCCTGTTTAGCAATATTTATGTTTAAATAAATAAATAAAATCAGGTTGAATTAAAATATGCACACAATAATTTAAGAAACACACTTTTATTTGAATAAAATTGTTAGTATTAGTATGATTATCATTATTAATCGACACAACATGTGAGAGACTTTGAAAAGCAATAATTAGCATTAAGATCCTTAGTATGGCAGATAATTCACTTGAACCTACCTAAGTAAATTTCACCAAATGATCCACTACCAATTTTACGACCAAGGCGATATTTATTGCCGACTCGTAATTCCATTAGCTATAAAATCAAATAAACAATTGTTTTATTTTAGCGAAATAATTACATGTTAATAGTAATTAAAAATGAACTATACAAAGATAAAGACACATTTACCAAGCATACATGTTGATCCATATCAGAGGTTTTAGTACTGTGATTATTAGGTGTTTGGTATTTTCACCACTCAAGCAATATATAATCACAGGTTCATTTAACAGTTCACCAAAACCTAGTTATATGAGCATGATACGTCATCGATCGTGCATTCACATAAACATACGATTTCACACCACTATAGCACGCATTTCTACAATTAATACACATATTGTGAAAGTCGGCAAATAAAAGTACGATCAGATATTCAATAGCCTCAAGCATGGGACAAGGAAAGTAAAAATACAAGCATTTGTCAGTCTTTCCGAAGAGCACGCAAATGCCTCTATGTAAAAACTTAATTTACTTATTTATTTATTTAAACACATACATATTGGTACAAAGGGCACCGGATACATATGCGCCACACAAATTAATGAGAATGGGAGAAGGAAGAACATGCGTATATATAAAAGAAGGAAAAAAAGAAAAGGAGAAGAGTAATGATGGGGGAACTGAATGTACAACCAGAAGAGCTCTCTCAGTTAGGAAAGTTATAAACACTCTTTATGAAGAAAGTAAAAGAAGGTTACAGCAGGCTCGCCACTGGCTTCTATTCTGAGCCATATCTGATAACGTCTCTAGCCACTGTGTTGCACCATCTCTTGGACACCAGCCAGGGAGTCGTGAAGGACCAACAGAAGCTAGCCCTTTTCAGCTTTCTTTCATGCCACGACACCATGTCATACACTGACCTCCTCTCCACTTTTTCCAACTAGTCCCAGAGTCGGCAAATAGTGCACGACGTGGAGGTCTCTGGGACGACATTCGTAGAACATGTCCAAGCCACGGAAGTCGGTGTTTCAAGATGGTGACACCAATTGAATTATCGTCTCTGCGCCAGAACACACGATGCCGAACCTCTGCATTACTAACATGGTGTTGCCATTGGATGTCAGCAATCCTTCGGAGACAACGATGATCAAACACAGAGAGTCGTCTAACATCCTGAACTCGGATTGGTCAGGTTTCACAAGCATAAAGCAAAACTGCTCTCACTGACGCGTTGTAGATCCGACCTTTTACTGCCAGACAAACATCACAAAGGTGCCAAAGATGGCCCAGATTGACATGACCCGCTCTGGCTTTCATTATACGTGCATCGATCTCATCACTGCGATAGTGCCCAAGGCATGCAATCCGCACTTAATCAGTTAGCAATCAGTGTCCGTAGGTACGGTATGTGCTTTGCACCCTCCAAGTGCAAGGAACTCCTACAAGACTGGCAGGATTCTCATCCTGTACTCACCCTGGATGATGAGCACATTGAAGTAGTCGAGAAGTTCGTGTATCTAGGTAGCTACATAAGTGTTGGTGATGGCGTGAGTAATGAGATTGATGTACGTATAATGAAAGCCAGAGCGGCTTATGCCAATCTGGGCCATCTTTGGCACCTTTGTGATGTTTGTCTGGCAATAAAAGGTCGGATCTACAACGCGTCAGTGAGAGCAGTTTTGCTTTATGCTTGTGAAACCTGACCAATCCGAGTTCAGGATGTTAGACGACTCTCTGTGTTTGATCATCGTTGTCTCCGAAGGATTGCTGACATCCAATGGCAACACCATGTTAGTAATGCAGAGGTTCGGCATCGTGTGTTCTGGCGCAGAGACGATAATTCAATTGGTGTCACCATCTTGAAACACCGACTTCCGTGGCTTGGACATGTTCTACGAATGTCGTCCCAGAGACCTCCACGTCGTGCACTATTTGCCGACTCTGGGACTAGTTGGAAAAAGTGGAGAGGAGGTCAGTGTATGACATGGTGTCGTGGCATGAAAGAAAGCTGAAAAGGGCTAGCTTCTGTTGGTCCTTCACGACTCCCTGGCTGGTGTCCAAGAGATGGTGCAACACAGTGGCTAGAGACGTTATCAGATATGGCTCAGAATAGAAGCCAGTGGCGAGCCTGCTGTAACCTTCTTTTACTTTCTTCATAAAGAGTGTTTATAACTTTCCTAACTGAGAGAGCTCTTCTGGTTGTACATTCAGTTCCCCCATCATTACTCTTCTCCTTTTCTTTTTTTCCTTCTTTTATATATACGCATGTTCTTCCTTCTCCCATTCTCATTAATTTGTGTGGCGCATATGTATCCGGTGCCCTTTGTACCAATATATATGTGATTAAATAAATAAATCATCACTCACGCCACCACCAGCTCTTATGTGGCTACCTAGATACACGAACTTCTCGACTACTTCAATGTGCTCATCGTCCAGGGTGAGTACAGGATGAGAATCCTGCCAGTCTTGTAGGAGTTCCTTGCACTTGGAGGGTGCAAAGCACATACCGTACCTACGGACACTGATTGCCAACTAATTAAGTGCGGATTGCATGCTTTGGGCATTATCGCACAGTAAGACAATATCATCCACATACTCGAGGTCGATAAGTATTTTTCCAGGCAGCAAATCCACACTGCCATTACTTACATCCATCAGAGGTGTTTCCAGGATGTCGTCGATGGCAAAGTTGAAGAGGAATGGTGAGATCGGGCAACCCTGCCTAACCCCACTGCTCTAATGGAACAAGGGAGAAAGGTGGTTGTATGCTCTCACTCTGCCTGAGGTGTTCGTATACAGGGCCTTTAAGATATTAATGAACTTCTCAGACACACCCTTCTTCAACAGACAATCCCAGAGAACAGTCCTGTCCAACGAATCGAAAGCAGCCCTGATATCAAGAAACACTACGATTATTGCCCTGCGATAATTATAACGGTGTTCTAACATTTGACGGAGGATGAAGATGTGATCAATGCATCCTCGATCAGAACGAAAACCAGCCTGCTCCTCGTGAGTCAATCGTTCTCGGATTTTGAAAAACCTACGAAGAATGATAGAAGCCAATAGTTTGGACGCAATCGGAAGTAGACTTATCCACCGATAGTTGTTACAGGAACAGCGTGAACCTTTTTTAAAGATGGAGGCGACTATCGACTCATTCGATGATGTTGGAACACTTTCTAGCTCCCAAACTTTTGCAAACAACATTGTCAGTTCCTTAGTTAGAAAGTCACCACCATCTTTAAAAAGAGCCGGAGGTAAGTCATATGGGCCCGGTGATTTGTTACCACTTTGTAAAGGTACTTCTCATATTTCACATTAAAAGCAATATGGCCACGTGACTAGTGGTGCCAGATGTGTTGATTAATTTGTCAACTCTTTGTAGCACATAATACCTTGGTAAATTTAGCAACTGTAGTGACTATCCCACGATTAACAGAAGGAAAAAACTTATTCTTGATAGAGAGAGCAATAACACATGTAGGGATTTCAAATAAACAGCCCAACTTATGATCTAAATCACAAAATGCACTTAAATGTGTTTTAAACTTAAGTGAACTATCAGTAAATGATATTTATCCCAAGAACTAATGATGGTTACTTAATACAACTACATTCTGAGCACCCACTTTTTCAGTAAGGACCAATTTACTATGCATAAAGATGTTCTTTGATGCAGCAATCACAAACATAAACTTACTAGACTGTCAGTACCCACCAATAAATGAGAGACTTTAGACTGATACTCCTTTTGTAAAACATAATTAGCCTTTGACTATGCTTTAATAAAATCACGTGTGTCTCCACACCAAAAAACACAGGGAAAGTGAAACTGAGATGTCTCACGGGGATCGTTTGAGACTAAACTGCCATTAGTACATTTAGTTAGAAACCCTTAACTAAAATATCAAACGAATTTTCATTTCGAGACACCCTATAATGATTTCTAGTTTGCTGTATAGATGGCAGTAACGGCTGTTAGAAAACTTCAGCATAAGACAATGATAGATTGCGGAGTTTTAACCTATGTTGGGTCATTGAATCCTTAGTGTGAAAATATTAAGGATGGAAGCTAACCTAATGATTTCGAATAGTGAACAATAAAATCAAAAGATAGAACCGAAAGCAACAGTAAGGAGTTGATTGAAATCAAGAGAAAAACGGAGCCTTATACGTAAACAGCTTTTGACCCTGTCATCGGAAAAAAAGGAGTCACTGACCTACTTAGACTACGTGATTCACGGGGTATAACACTAATAAACAGTTCGAACGATATACATATGCCCCAGGTTGTGGGTTACTTAAAAATGAATGACTACAAACTATTCACCAGCTCTACATATGGGTTCCGTATCATCCGCCCTCAAATGCCCTGATACGGCCAAGAGTGGGGAGAGTCCGCTCTCCCTCTCCACATGCTCTCACATGGCCACGCGTTTATAGCATCTGTCACAAAAGTCCTACTCACTGCCTTCTCGTGGCGGGGGTGTTGCATACTAAATTGAGAGGACAGGAAGCGAATGTCCGGCGCTTTAACCGGGTTGGTGGACATGGAAATTCCACCTTGAGGAGTTGGAAAACCCTGATTCCAAACCAATGGTGCACATGGGTTCCAGTATCCTGAAGGAACGAATGGCGTATGAATCAATTGTTGGTCAACGGCTACCATGGGATTGCATCTCCTCACGATGCTCCACTACCTTATGGATCAGACATTCAGGTCAAAGGCTCCGGGTGTGGCCCCCTAAGAAAACCACCTGTTTCAGTCTGGGCACCTGGTCAGTATCACAGCCCTCACACAAATCGAATGAGATTTGTGCGGCGCATATATCTGGTGCCCCTTGTACCAATACTTATGTGTTTAAATAAAATAAAAAATCCGTAACATCTTTCCGTAGATTAACTCAAGACTAATTCTATACGGTTATTAAAAAAAGGTACTGAGACGGTCTACCCCACAATGATTAACTTTAGTGTCACTAAACGAAAGCTGGGAAGGACAATACCGGTCATATGAATGATGGATAGAAAGTGTAGACGAACGACTTAAAAGCTCTACCTCGAGAGATTTTGAGAATCAACTTGTTTATTGACGTACCATTAGTGGTCTGTTAATCTGACTCCAGTTTGAACGAACGGATACACCATGAATAAAAATCTTTTGTTCGGTTTCCTATATTAAAACCGGGTTAATCTCGCCCGACCGCCGACGGTAATAAGACAAGTGCGAATTGAGTCAAGTGAATTTATTTCAGACATTCGTTTACTCACAGACAAAGGTGAGAAGCGGAAAGGCGAAGTAGAGTGCAGAAGGCAACCGTGCTAACTCCATTTGACTCATCATCTATAGCCAGGCAAATATAAGCTAAAGATATGTGATGAATGGGTAGGAATAAACTGTACTGCCGACCTTTGAACGAATTTTAAATGACCTTGAGAAATATTAGCCAATCAAAAGATAGTGTACAGTGAAAATTTACTGTACAAAACCAAAGAATTAAAGTGGAAACATTTCTTTTACACGAGTCAAAAACTTCTCAAGGTCAGATATAGGTTCAGAAGTTCTAAAATCATAGTGCATACGGTACAGGAACACATCCATATGGCTCCATAGTAGTCGACCTCTGAAACCATGATAAGGTCTCAAAAATTCTTTTAGCCTCGACCACATAGCTTCAATAATGTTAGTATATTGGTATGGTTTACGGTTTAGGGTTAGAGTTAAGGTTTAGGGTTATGGGTGTGACTATAAGTTATGGACAACCTTTGAGCGACGTTAGAGTGACTCTAAGAGTGTCAACATAGTAACTAAGACCAAATGAGGGTATAAACCTGTGTGAAAGATTCAAATTATGATTTAAAGTTCACGGTTAAGGCTAGGAATTATACTTAGGGTTTTGATCACGAACTGACATCAGCTATAATGCCAAAACTCTATTTATCCTAATGGATAATTGAATTTCGCGCCAAAATGTTATGGTCACTTCTATTGTAGACGCTGAATTATCACATTTTCCCTAAAATCCGCTGTAAACCGATCGTACGTAAGCATCAGGTACCGAACTTAGCGCCGTGACCTTGAAAACCTGCGAAAGCTTCTGATTGGTTTGGCAGTATAATTTAGTCCTATCGATGAATGGAATAGGCAATACACGTACATATTTAAAATAGCGTTAAAGGCGAGTAATTGAAAAGTACACTTCCTATGAGGAGAATGTTATTATGATGGCAAAAATGACGTTTCTGACTTTGTATACAGTGTTCGTACGCCCTAAACTTGAGTACTGCATACAAGCAGCTAGCCCCTGCCTGAAAAAAGACAGTGAACTCTTGGAAAGAGTTCAGAGAACAGCAACTAGGCTGATTCCCGGAATAGCGAAGCTCCCGTATGGTACTAGACTAACCAAGCTAAACCTATTCCCGCTGTCATATAGAAGAATCAGAGGCGACTTGATTACAGTTTTCAAATTGCTTAATGACAAATTTGCACCTGATATGCCCTCATTTTTCTTGTCTTCCAAAACAGAAAATCTACGAGGACACTCCAAAAAAGTTCACAAGCCCCGAACGAATTACTTGTCAGCTGACTACCGACTTTCCCATCGAATAATCAACGAGTGGAATTCATTACTTCAGCAAATGGTTGAGGCTCCATCCGTCGACTCCTTCAAAAGAAAGTTGGATCAGCTGAGAGACCATCATTGCCAGGACTAACACAGGCCATCAAGCCTCCTGTCCTTTCCAAACTGAAACTGAAACTGAGGATGAATCACACAGGCACATAGTCGTGCTAGACACTAGACCTTCATATGCTTCTCCCTAGTACATAAACTCGCAGTAAAAACCACATGCAAGGTGCCGTGTGGATCAATTGGCTGCTTAACAAGCTGAGACACCCGTCACCCTGGTGGAATGCGTGTGCTATTAAAGGATGGATCTATCCATACTGAGAGATGGCCTTTATAGAATACCAAAGGGACTCAAAATAGCCAGTCCTTTTGAATTTGATCTGGAGTCGTAGGAACAATTAGAAGGCCCTTGTGAAGAAACACTAGGAGAGTTTTAGTTTGCTAACGATTATTTTTACTGCAAATATAACCTCATTACAGGACGACGATAGTCCAAACTTACAAAGATCCAACGAAAGTTCTCATTACTTATACACGGATTACATGCTGAATTTGTCAATTGCATTGTCTCAAATCAGTGACAAAAAGCCCAGAATGTAGCCAGAAATAACCTTCTGGCAAACAAACGACCGAAATATGATAAAAAGTTAACGAGCAATGCACTTAGGAAAGTATGAGCTATGAAATGGATGTCTTACTTGTTTACCCACCTGTTATAAGAACTTTGTGATGCACAAATTTATTAATACAAATAAAATAACCTTCCATTGACACTCTTAGTGAATACAAAAAGTTCAAAAAATACAAATAGCTTCCGAAATTGGCTAGAACAAGGACTCACCAAGAGCTACCTGACCAAACAGACCGCCAGCCTTGCGAATGATGTAAACAACAATGTTAATGTAAGAAAAATGGATTACAAAATTTCAATGACTATCTGTGAAACCAGCACTTGGATGCCCCTAAGATCTTCGAAGCTGTGATTCTGGCTTTAGATAACAGTCTTGTTCTCTAGTGCCATCCGGAGTATTTGTCCGAACCACTACAATGCATTACTTTTGATCGACATAATCAATAAACCTTGAATTCATAAAATAGGAAAACATATCTCACTTTAGTTGGAAACTATGCCTGAGATTGTGTTGTTGGCCATTTAACTTACCTTACTACTTGAGCCTATTGCCACCAAACGGACAAAGGCAGTGTAGTTGTAAATAATTCCCCGAAATCAATAGCTCATTAAGTGTTCGTCATTGGATGCTGACCACGTTGTTTAAGTGGACTTGTTTAGCTGAAGGCTTTCGGTCATGCATCCGTACCAGATCACGTTTCAACACGGCGTGGGACACAGCTCCTACGTTTCATTAGCCAGCATATAGAAAAGGTCCTCGATATATTGGTAACGAATCAAATATATCTTTCCTGCCTCTTCTCGTATGACTTCTGATTTCTATCTGACTGGGAACGATCGAACATAGAAGGTGCTACTGGTAACTAGTTGTAAAACTAGAACATCCGTGGTATCCTCAGTGGTGAACCCGACGTGATCTGGTACACCTAGTCAATATACTGTGAGTCTGTTCCATTTTGGAATATTATTATTCATTGTTATTCTTTATTCGAATTTTTTATATTGTGATAAACTGTTTTTTCGCGAATTTTTTTCCGGATATATTTTAATTAGACATTTTTCGTTATCTATATTACTATGACGGAACACTCTCCTAAGGTTCTTAAGTTTAAGTCTATTCCCCCTATTTCGATTCAGTTAACGCCATTTTGGCCCGACAATATCGAGTCCTGGTTCTGCTATGCAGAAGCCGATTTTAGCATGCACGGAATCACGGACTCGCGCACACGTTTCCTCGCGGTAGTTAAGGCGTTACCGCGCGAGTTTAACAGGTACGTAACACCTAGTATGTTTACTAGTGATGTTCCCGAACCTTACGAAACGCTTAAACTATCGATTTTAAAACAAGGAGACCTAACTGATCGACAACGGTTAGACCAACTCCTTAACAATATCGACTTGCAACATGGTTCTGCGACGGACATGTTGCTTAGAATGAGAGAATTCATCGGCCAACGAACTTCGATGATGGCCTATTCAGACAACTTTTCTTGTCTAAACTCCCTCAACAGTTGCAGGCAGTGCTTGTTTCATTTCAGAACAAAGACATAGATGAACTAGCTGCATCTGCCGATCGAATCTTGGAAATCACTAGATCTTCTAAGGCCGAGGTTTTTTCCATCAAAGAAAAACCCCAATCGACCTCGACTGACATGGCCGAACTATGTCACACATTTACAAGATATCTTAGAGTTCGTAATGACCGTAGTCGGTCAAAATCCTCACGTAGGAGCTTTTCACGTAAGAGATCTGTCTCTCGACCACAAGAGACAGACAACCCCGACTGGTGCTGGTATCACAATAAATACGGTAAATCCTCTAGAAATTGCAGGAAGCCCTGCAATTATCCGACCCCAGAATCGAGCGACACGAAAAACAGTTCGGGAAACTTCCTAGCCGGCACGCGTTAACGGCAACCGTAGACGGCAAACACAGCCGCCTCTTATATGTCACGGATGTGACTACGAAAGTTCACTACCTCGTCGACACTGGCGCAGAAGTTAGCGTTCTTCCAGCAAATCTCGACGACAGACTTCGCGAGTCTGTTTTAAGTTTACAGGCGGCAAACGGAAAGCCGATCGCTACTTACGGTAAAAGGTACGTCTACCTTAACGTGGGTTTACGCAAACCCATACACTGGATTTTCGTTGTCGCAGATGTCTCCATGCCAATCATTGGTATAGACCTGTTACAACACCACAATCTACTCATCGACACACGCTCACGAAGGTTAATAGACGGAAACACTAAGTTATCTGTTTGCGTAACTCCTTGTTCTGGTTGCAGGTTATCCCCAGTCACGATTAAGCACACCATAGACCCATTGTACCAATCAGTACTCGACAAATACCCCGGGATACACCAATCGCAATCGAAATTGCCTTGTGTAACCAGCAATGTTACACATAACATCTGGACTACAAGACCACCTGTATTTTCCAAATCCCGACCACTCGCTCCCTAAAAACTTAGGTTAACTAAAAACGAATTCGACCACATGATGGACCTAGGGATAATTCGACTATCGAATAGTCCATGGGCATCCCCATTGCACATGGTCCCTAAAAAGGACAGCAATGATTGGCGGCCAACTGGTGATTATCGGCGTCTGAATGCAAAATCCATTCCCGATCGTTACCCGCTGCCTCATATTCACGATTTGACAGCTACCTTGAAAGGTACAACTGTCTTTTCGAAAATCAACTTGATTAAGGCTTATAACCAAATCCCGATGGCACCTGACGACATTCCTAAAACCGCCATCATAACTCCCTTCGGTCTTTACGAATTTCTACGAATGCCTTTTGGTTTAAGAAATGCTGCTCAAACCTTCGAAAGCTTTATAGACGACGTCTTTCGAGGTCTCAACTTCGTACATGCGTATGTTGATGACTGTCTAATAGCAAGTCCGAACAGAGAATCTCATCTCAAGCATCTGGACATTGTTTTCGACCGACTTCAAAGGCATGGCATTACTGTCAACATACAGAAATGCCAAATCGGAACAAACTCCTTAGACTTCCTAGGACACACCATTGATGCCCAAGGCATCCGACCCCTTAGGAGCAAAGTGGCGGCCATTCTGGATTACCCAGAACCGACCACGATCAAGCACTTACGAACTTTCAGCGGACTTGTAAGTTTCTATAGACGGTTCATACCCAAATGCGCATCTCTTATGAAACCGTTAACCGATCAGCTTCGTGGAAATGCGAAATCAATTAGTTTAGACGACATAGCCCGTAAAGCATTTTCCACAGTTAAGGAACACATCGCTAAAGCAACCTTGATTGCTAATCAGGACACTCAAGCGCCCATTAGTATCGCCGTAGACGCATCCGACTCAGCAATCGGAGTAGTCTTACAACAATGAGTTAACAACTCGTGGCAACCTTTAGGATTTTTCTCGAGACGGTTGCTAGACTCGGAATCTAGGTACAGCACGTTCGGTAGGGAACTCCTAGCTATGTATTGTGCTGTACGGCATTTCCAACATTTCATCGAAGGAAGAGAATTCACGCTTTTTACCGATCACAAACCTCTTAGCTTCTCTTTAACTTCATCTTCAGACAAGTACTCACCACGAGAGTCTCAACAACTAGACTACACTTCGCAGTTTACTTCAGACATACAACACATTTCTGGAGCTAACAATGTAGTCACAGACGCCTTGTATCGAATAAGTTAATTTAACAGTTTCCAAGGAATCGACCTTCTTAAACTCGCTCAGCTTCAAAAAGAAGACATTGATCTTCAGCATGAGTTATCTTCGACAACTCTTAAACTAAGTATTTGGCAGATGGGAACAGGTAAGGAAACCTTACTCTGTGACACATCTACAGGTAGGGATCGTCCAATTGTACCAAAACATTATCGCCGCAACGTCTTCAATATGTTGCACAATCTTTCTCATCCAGGTGCTCGTGCAACTGTCAAACTTATAGACCGTTTCACTCGATGGCCAGAAGCACTACCGATTAAGGACATTACTGCTGAAACCGTGGCCCGCGCTTTCGTCGAACGATGGTTAGCAAATTTCGTCTGCCCTTCCACAATCACTACAGACCGCGGACGCCAATTCGAATCTAGACTTTTCCGTTGACTGACCTCACTTTTAAGAATTACGCGCTTCCGAACGATCGCCTACCACCCACAAGCAAACGGGTTGGTAGAACGTTTTCATCGACAACTAAAAGCTTCATTATCAGCTTCAAACGTTTCACAGTGGATAGACGCTCTTCCACTCGTCTTGCTAGGTATCCGCAATGCAGTGAAAGCTGACATTGGATACATTGCATCTCAATTCGTTTACGGAACGACACTCCGACTCCCAGGATAATTCTTAGATCCTTCAGCTTCTTCATTGAACATGGATCTAAACTCTTACACAAGTAGGCTTACAAATGCTATGCGTTCAGTTAAACCTGCTCACACTCGACCTCAATCAACTGATGTTTTTGTTCAACCCGAATTACGACATAGTACACACGTCTTCGTTCGTCGAGACTCACATCGACGACCCCTCGAATCAGCATACGAAGGACCCTTCAAAGTTCTTCAACGCGAACCTGAGTACTATGTAGTCGATAAGAACGGCACGAACGATAGCATCAGTATCGATCGACTCAAAGCATCGTACTTAGAAGGAAACCCTAGCTACGTCGAATTTCCTTCAGTACAATCGTGCGACACGGCTCCGACACTTGTAGTACCCTACACGACAACCGACACAAATCTTGATTCTTCGCCAACGACAATAGAAAAACCTAAAACAACGCGTCCTGGAAGACGAGTAAGATTTCCAGAACATCTTAACGAATATTGCACGTAGGACATAAGTTTTATCTTGAATTACCCTTCCATAGTTCATTATTAAAAAAATTTTTAATATGCTCATTTTTTATTTATACAAAAAAACATTTTTATCTTTTTTTGAGCGTATATATATTTTTTTATATATAAAAAAACAGTTTTTTTCCGATCGCTTTTACGCTGTTTGTAAGTGTATTAGTTTATTCATTTTTTCCCACGCTCATCTTGTGTCCTTACGCAAGTACGAGTGTATTTTCGACATGCACTTACACGTTTTATTTTTCCTCTTTTCCAGGACAGCTGGAAAAGAACGACGAAGTTTCGCAAGGAACCGAAATTTTCATTGTACTATATTTCTTTATTGCTATGTTGTACATTTTGGTCCCATAGTTTGAGGAAAGACGACCAGACGCTGCTAAACGAAGCAAGCTATCAGAAGAGTGTTTACCAACGGCAAACTCGTTGGGTTTAAACTTCTGGCTGGTCACGTCTTAAGGGCATCACTACCTCACTAGGGGGGAGTGATCTCTATCTGTAAATAATTCCTCAAAATCAATAGCTCATTAAGTGTTCGTCATTGGATGCTGACCACGT